ATTTGAGCGGTCAGCATTGTCAAAATCAGGATGCTTTTATCAACTATAACTATGCAGAAGCTTCCTGACCAACCCAGTGCAAAAGCACTCTCTCTGTCTTAGTCACAGGAACCTCGAGTATGGGGTCATCCTGTTTCGGCGACAGAGTGCAGGGGAAGGAAATGCGTTTGAGCAGTCCGCACTGTCAAAATCAGGATGCTTTTATCATCTATGCAGAAGCTTCCTGACCAACCCAGTGCAAAAGCACGCGCTTTGTCTCTCGCTCTCTCTCTCTCTCTCTCTCAATTGCAGCTATCTTCAGCGTTGTGTTGTCGTCCGTGTTATTGGAGGCAACTGTGCATGGGGATGAGGTTGTTGTCAAGATGCGTACTTCCACCATATAGATATATATAAGCATATATAAGCCTATTTGGCAAACTGGTGCAAGACATTCTCAAGTTGTCTGCGTCCCTGCGAACCTCCTACGTCCCATGTTTCATAGTCTTTTTCTGGCAGAAGAGGCCCTGTAGAGGGAGCACCTATTGTTTGCGGATGCTTTTGACTGTGGGAGAAGTACAGTGTAGTACCGGCAATAGTTGTTGAGCCAGATGCAATCTTGAACATTCCTTGTGGCAGCCCAGCTATTGCTTATAGTGCCGCCACGAAGAGAGAAACATCTTTTTATGTTGGATTTGCTTATATAGATATACAGTAGATGATACTTGGGTGTCCAGTTGGTCCAGTGATCGCGGATGTTTGGACGTGTTACTTTACCATCCACACCCAACCATCAACGAGCTAGCCACCCACAACTTCCCACGGGGACTTTCAGTCATTCGCCAGTCACCGAGGCCAAGCCTTACAGCCTCTTCAGTGCATATGCCCAGCATCACTCTCGGCAATTCCATGGGGTGATGAACCGTAGCTGCCGGATGTCGCTTAGTGGATCTTAAATCAAGTTCCGGAGCCATCAGGGAATGGCTTTCAAGTTCAACAAGGTGCAGTTCCTCAGATGTCTCAATCAAATGTTTGATAGAGACCCGTTTCTGTTTTTGCGAATTGCACTCTCGAGGCTGGCACACGACAATGATGTGGGGTGCTATGTGTTTTTCTTGATGTTGCAGTTTGGGCTCAATTCACATGCAGATTTTGCAGGATAATCTGGGCCCAGCATCCCACTGTTGTTAGGGCCTTGTGTCTGAAGATGCGCAGAGGTTTTAGCTCGGAAGTGATTTGTGCTCAGTGGCCTCATCAAAAGAAGCTGCCAATCAACCACAGGCATCACATCCAAAGCAACGTCACACGAGTCACGCTGCAGATCGAGGACTCGCAGGCGCTTTCGGTCCTCGATGCAGTTTGATGGAAAAGACCGATTCGAAACCTGGCGATATCTCATGAAGCCCAGCTACTCGGCAGTCGAATCGAAAGAAAATAGAGCCCCGTCCCGAAGAAGAACTGGCGGACCGTGACCAAAGTCTTTGACTCTGTCATTCATCCTTTTGCCTTTGGTACAATCCAGGAAACGACCATTTCTGTTCACCCCCTTCATGCTCGATACCATTGTGTATCAAAGGGCGTATAGGTAGCGCTCAGATTACCCTTACGCAAGTCTTGGGAACAAAACGTTTGCATCACCAGGGATCCCACCACCAAGAGTCCCGGATTCTGATAGAACGAGGGAACCAGTTCTGCGAGTTCTAGTTCGATCATAGTCATAGAACCACCTCGGAAGTCGCCGGCTGAATCTTTTTCTACGGTTTTTATGTGTTTTCTCCCACATCGCCATGCTGTCCACGGGCACGTTTCATTCTTTTCCTTCCTGCAACACTGCTTCAGGTTCACGCCCTCCGTCGAGTCAGCAGGCAGCGGTCAACCACGAATCGAGCTTCCAGCTCTTTCTGCAGGCGGTGCTTCGGGAGCCCATGAACTTCGAGGACGTGGATGTTTTCGAGACGGCGGACATAGAGTTTGTGTTTTTTTTTTGTGACGTTTACTAGAACCATTTACAACTTCCAACCTTTCTCCGGTAAAAAACGTTGCTGCGAAACCTTGAAGTTGATCTTCCCACCTGAACAGCTCCATTGAAAACCCAAGTGGCGCAAGTCGGTGCGAGCCACAGCGGGAGGAGTTTGTGGATCACCTACGTGAGGAAAGCTTTCCTGTCGAGAGCCTCTCAGAGTCCCCTTCGAGTGACCTGGATCAACACGGTTTGACCCAGGCATGGTTGCCCATTTTGTGTCTTCAAAACTGGGGGTATTTGGGAGGTAATGCATGATGATGACAAATGATTGCATGTCATATGATCGCTTGTGACGACATTTGATAGCTTTTTTTCCTATGTTAATTATGGCATGATGGTTTGTACCAGTTTAAAATGGTAGTGAATGGCGAATGATGTTCACATTCCCTTCTGCATTGAAAGACCCGCTTCTTCTTCTTCTCCACGTCCAGAAGCAAGGTCAGTTGGCTCCTCCAGGCAATCGTGAGAAGCCTGTGAGTGGCACCACCTGTCGTCAGCAGTGTTCAATCCAAGAGTGTAAGTCCTGGGTTGTGAAGCTGTAAGACTGTTCTCACAAGTGTCGCTCCGAGTTCGAAGAGTTCGAAGCAGATCCTGGATTGTACAGAGCTCAGGTTTCGGTGCAGGTTTCGCATGGTTTCGCCTCTTTTTCAGGAAAGGGCCCTTGAAATCATCAAATGAAGGCTAGCTATTCTGGCCATGAAGATTTGATGATTTGCGCGCTTGATTAGATTGGGGACGATTGGCGTGATATGATTTGCTTGAGAACTCTCAAAACCCGGGTCGACCAGAATCGATAACTTCTGCTGAAAGCAATACAAGACGAGAGAGCCCAATCCTGAGGGACAACGATCAGTTCTGCCCCCTTGGGAGATCTTGCGATGATCTCACCAATCGCGGCGCGTGCCGTGTCATTTGGTTGCGAAGCCGCAGATCTTCGGTTTTCATGGCTATGAAGAGCCCTGAGGATGGTGGAAGCAATTTGAGCAATCCTTGACATCTTAATGGATACTACAGTATACTTTGCAAGCCAGTGATTGTTGAGCCCAACACTGAATTTTATGGCACACTCCCGTGCATCCCGTGCGCATTGCAATTTAGCTTGTCCATCCAACCTTCTCTCCAACCCTTCAGCTAGGTCTGGCAGGTCGAGCAACATCCACCTGAAACGAAAGGTCCTCATCACCAAAAACTGAGAAGATTGAGATGTGAAGACCCCAGTAGTTCGAGGATTGACCATTTCTTCGATCCGATAAGAAAGAACCAATTCCTCCAGACGGATGAAATCAAGTGCGGCCAAACGGGTTGGAGATTCTCTCCGGGTCCAATCCTCAGGGTCTCTTTGGCCATTGGCCCTCCCTATCTTCTTGCCACATGCCCGTCCCGCATGGTGATTTGGAGCAGTCCGGCGATGAAGGCAATAAAGCTGGGCAAGGCGGTTTCAGAGGTAAAACCGTAAACAATCAGTACTGTAGTTCTGTTTATCAAAGTACTTGCACTTCAGACTGTTCAGACCATCGTTGTTGAGTCACTTCAAGAGATCTAACACCATTTTATAATTTGAGGTGGATCCTTTTGTCGCAACGAAGTCACAGAGAAGTATGCAGTTTGAAATAGGTTCTTTGATTTCTCCAGAATATCGTCGGACACTGTCCTCCAAGGTCCAAGTTAGCCAACTTGCTGATGACGAGCGAACTCGCGCGGCGTCTACCCAGGTGTGCGGGGAGCCTTCAATGTTACTCCTAGCCTTTTCGCGTTGGCCGGTGCATTTTGATGAGCAAATCTGTTTTGCCCAAAAGGCTATGCTAAGCAAGCAGAGTTTTTCGAGCTATCCACTGCAGCCAGTAGGTGATAGTGATAGGTAGTGTGAGTGTGGGAATTGGTGAATCGGATTAGTTGGGAGCAAGCACTAAGGGCATGTGTGCACAGACCAATTGAAGAACCAAAGAAGTGTATGGATGTGGCACAGATTGCTTCCAAATCATCCATGTTTCTGCATGTTCCAACGACACCTCAATCGCCGTTGATCGAAGGCTGTGTTTTCTTCGCGACCGTCCGTCCGTGGTGACTGCGGCTGAGGATACCAGTAAATTGCGTGCATCCGGGTGAAGTATTGACCCAGGCACCGGATCGAAGCTGGGGCGAAGCTGGAACGCCGATTGGCGCAAATGAAAGACTTTGGAATTAGTCTAACCCAGTGAGCACGGTCAAAACGGCATGGGTGCCAGGTGATGAACGATATGCACCCGGTGGTGCTGGCGACCGGGCCCTAATTCAGAGGGCTGGAATAAAGAAAGGAGTGTGATCACAAGTTCAAGCAGGAATGTGTGAAGATCCCTTTTTTGGATTCTACCATTGAAGCTGTGTGATCATCAGTGAATCATAGGAGCTTTTCAAAGTGTCTCAGAAGCACACGTCGAAACTGACGGCGCTTGAACCCAGCGGATCAATCAAATTGTGTTCTTTGCCAGAGTGCAACACATGTGCCAGGCGTCAGATGTCGACCGTTTGTGCGACTTCTAAATAAGCCGCTCCCGGACAGTCCTAGAGTCTGCCAGTTCTCGCTGTGGCGAGTGATGCGGAATGATGCGGACTCTCGGTGACATCGTTGCACAAGGATCTATGCCAGCTTCCGCCCGGTGGCACGGAAGCTCTTCAAGTCCCCCGAGGAGGGTGCTGCCTGGGCCTGATTGAGGTTTCTGGGGGTTGTTGGTTTTGTTTTGTTAGGAATCGTGAAGCAATTCAGTCGATCCTATAGGATCTAGTATAGTCACTCTTCCGTGGGGATGAACATGGTGCGGTCACCTTTTGAGAACCATGTTACACCTAGTGCAACTACTAATGTATAAACAAAGATGCCGATGCCCAATGAGGATGACTGAGACTCATAGCTGACAGTTCATCAGAGTTCGCTCTAGGTTTGCACCGTCTTTGTCGCCACATCACCTGAGTTGAGCTGCACTGGACAGTGCCCGTGGAACCGTGGAACGGGATGATGGGCTGCATTGAGACTGGAACAGACCAAGTCCACATGGAGCAAAGTGGCATTGGAGGGGGCCAATGTTTATGGAAGTTGCAGATCAACGAAGGCCGAACCCAGTTCAAAACCTCCCTCGCCTGCGTTTCTCCATGGATCGTGATGAATCTCAGAAAAGAAATTGTTTTGTAGTTTCTCCAAACAGAGCACGAACTTCCAAAACACGGGGAAGTGAGGTTAGGAACGGGGTTAGGAATTGGGAAAGGAATTGGTAAGGAACTGGGACAGGGAGCTAGGAACTGGGACAGGGAGCTAGGAACTGGAAAAACACAGTGATTTGGACGCCAACAGAGTCAGGAACTGGAAAAGCACCGTGATTTGGATGCCAACAGAGGTAGGAACTGGAAAAGCAGAGTGATTTGGACGCCGGAGTTAAGAACTGGACAAGCACAGCGATTTGGACGCCAACGGAGTTAGGATGGAAAAAGACAGTTTGGACGCCACATTGTCAGGACCTGGAAAGCACAATGATTTGGGCGCAAGAGAAGATTGACCTTCATACGTCAAGTGTTAGTGTACCTTGACAGCATGTGCAAAGACACAGGCACAGACGCAAAAGACACAAGTGTACCGTGCCAAGGAGACACACACTCTTCAACAGCAAGCAGCAGACGCAATGGGCACTGATGTTTGAGAACAAGGTGAAGGCGATATGTTAAACATTTCTGGCATGGGGATGTGTATAAAACCAAACAGTTGAGACAGTACTGGGGTTTGACGTGTTGGGAGAAACCAGTGACGCGAACGTGTCATTTCTTTCTCCCAACACGTCAAAGCCCAGTACCTGTAGGAGCATGGACGCTACTAGCGGCTCCTGGCATCGCTACGAACGGAGCAAGAATTCAACTAGAGTCCGAAGTTACTAGAAACAAGAACGCTACTAGGAGCAAAGGGCATCGCTACTAGGAGCAAGAACGCTACTAGGAGCAAGAACGCTACCAGGAGCACAGAGCATCGCTACT